CAGACAGACAGACAGACAGATGCAGAGACAGAGACAGTGACAGTGACAGTGAACAGAAAGAGATAGACAGAGGGAGACAGGCATACAGCGAGACAGCGAGATGAGACGGAGGCAGAGAGTGCGAGAAATAAACATGGACAGGTAGATAGACGGATAGTGAATAGCAAGTAACATCTCAGCGCTTTGCATCTGGTACGGGGGTTTTGACTTCCAAACTAGGCGTAGGCCACGACCCCCTAGAGGCCAGTTGCCCATATCCTAGACATACTACGTTTACATGGCGACAGCTTTAGGCAAGTGCGGCTTTGTGGCTTGATTGTACCCAAGACCCTACATCCTAAACCCTANNAAACCCCTAAACCCTAAACAACCCTACACCCTCTCTGGATATGGAGGCAGGCATCGAGATCGCCGGCTCTCGGATCGTCATCATCAAGCCGGACACGGCCTATTGGGCAGGCCGGCATCCCTCGACAGGATGTACCCTGAAATCTACCTACTCCAGGAGTTTTGAAAAGGCGGTCTCTCAGGGTTCAGGCAGGGCTTATGGGGAGGTGGCTGAAACAATCTCAAGGCTGGATTTCTGTAGCATGTCTCCCCCATCTTCTTTCTGCGTACATGAAAAACACATATGCATGTCACTTTGATTGCGTTCTATAGCTCTTGCGTCTAGGCTGCTTGTCGCTATGGATGACTGCATCCCTAAAGCCGTTACCCCCTCTACAACTACATTGCGAACCTTGCCTGCGACACTCAGCCCTACATAAACTGTGCAATCTACACCCCAGACTTTGTGTCCAAATCCAATCTCTGGTAAAGAAACCCCAAGGGACCAAGTACCCAAATAGTAGATACTTAGACATTATTGTAGTCCCTATATAATATAAAGTACACTCATACGGGTACATGGACCCTTAGGGAAACGATATCAGAGCCCCTTTGTCGTTTCTCATTCTTCAGAGCTCCGAGTTGATAGTCCTTTGCGGGCAACAGGGTGTCAGCGGCGCTGGTCACGCACGTAACCCTAAACCCTAAATCCCTAAACCCCTAAACCCCTAAACCCCTAAACCCTAAACCCTTTGTGAAATTAAAGTGCTGTTTGGGGGTCGTGCATTCCCAGACTAAAGGGCTCCAGATACTAAAAACAGGGTAGGTTACTAGCCATATTAATTAGGGTTAAGGGTTATAGGGGTTTAGGGGTATAAGACGTAACCCAGCAGCTCAGTATTTTTTAGGTAACTGGAGCCCTCGGGAGAGTTTTGTTTTTGCATCAGTTTGGGGCCCGAAGCAGCGACTCGCCGACCGGACAGTCTTCGGCAAAGGAGTGCTTCGAGCCATGGGATGTGCAGCAGGGATCCCCATCCATCCACAAGATGCCCAGGGAGAGCCGAAGCTGATGAAACAGGGACAGGCGAAGGTGATGAACCAGGGCCAAGTGGCGCAGAAGTCTGAGCTGATGATCGAATCGTCATGGGATTCTGCAACTTGGAACTCTGATCTTCCCAGTGGTATTCCCCGTCCGCCGAACAGGATTCACCATGTGAGGCATCTCGACGTTCTGAACAGATTCAAGAACAGGGTTGAGCAATTCCCAGATGCCTTCACGACCATCGTATCATCCCGGAGGCAGACGAGTGACGAGGATTAGGTCGTCAGGGTCCCTTGCCCCATTGGAGCCATAGTGAACTCAGCTCTTCAGTTCGCCTGCTCTGGGTAGAATGCTACAGATCATCGCAAGCATCGGTGCACCGTGAGACGGACGGACCGGTGAGCATGTGGATTTGCCTCATACGAGTATCCTCGCGAGGCTTTTTACGAGTGTGCCTAGTTCGGACCCAGGATTTACGGGAGCAACCGCAGACTGTTGATGCCCTTCTCCTCAGGCTCCAGGTCTCTAGGTCCACTAGCAGATCAACGAATTTGTCCTAGCTGCTGTAGCGAGGACATCACACGAACCAAGTCAAATCGAGGTAGTATAATGAAATCATCGACGTGCGGCATCACAGGTTTCCTGCTACCACGAACAGCAACAGATTCAGAACAAGCGACAGCAGCAACAGCCACGTTGTCAACACCAGCAAGCGAACCCCACCACCACATCCGGTACCACCACTGCCACTGCTGCCACCGCGAGAACAGGCATCACCAGCACCAGTGCCAGCATCGCCAGCATAACCAGCAACAGGTTCACGAGAGCAAGGAGCTGTAGCAGCAGCAACCAGAACAAGGGCAGCAAAATAAGCACAAGCAGCAAGGCCAGCGGTAATGGCAGCAACGACATCATCTTCATCATCAACAACATCATCNNCAGCATCATCATCATAATCATCATCACATTGTCATTGCTATTGCTATAGTGCTTTTGTTGCTCATCTTCATGTTCATCTTAAGTTTAGGTAGTGCGTGCTCGAGCTTGTCTTGTAAATCTACCGAATCCTAGAAGCCTGACAACAAGCCAAATCCGGAAGGCGGCAAAACGTGGCCGCCAGGCCAAACAGCAAATAAAGGCAAATAGAACGCGTTTTGGGTGAAGCTATGCTCCCTTTTTGCATGTTAGTGCTTGTCGTTTGTGGGTTTGTTGATTGCCTTCTCGTCGCGCTTTTGTCGGATGGGGGACTCCGGCATTTTGTTCACCTAGGGACAAGGCAAAAAGAAAAGGCGCGAAAAAGACAAGCTCCCAGCTTGAAAAGGGTAATCCGGAGATCAGCGGGCCCAGGTTTTGTGTTCATCTAGGAAAGCCGCAAGACAAATGCAACAAAGACAGGCCGTACGCAAACAAACTGCAATCCGAGGGGGCCTGGGCGCCTTTTAGATGCATTGTCCTGAGAGAAGGGCAACAACAAGCTGCCAACAAGAATCCCGGTGGTGAATTGTCGTTGCGGCCTGGTTTAAGTTGTTATCAGGATTTCGGGGGGGGGGGGGGGG